ATACCCTGGATTAAAGTACATCTTTCTCTCAAACAAGTACAAAAGTATGGTTTCACAAACATTTCCATCCCCTTCAGATAAGAACAACTGTCTCTCTTGACAAAGTTGACTGAATGTTGGAAGGTAAAATGTTTCTGTCAGACTTGTTGTACAGAAACAGTAAAATATTATAATCAATCAAATCATAGAATTTCTAAATTTTCAGTTTGCAAAATAATGTATTTGATGGATAGTTGTAATCTTTTCTCGCGATAATTCTTACAGCTCTTTTCTGTAAAACAAAAATTGAGTTTTTAATTGTTTTGCAAGTTTTACTAATGCAGAAAGTAATTTAAAAACTTTCACAGAAATAATTTTGTGAATCCCAGCTGATAAGAAAGTTTGGTCTGATTTAACGTTAGGCAGTGTGAAGTGTCCTGTGGTGTATGTAAACTGGTTTTATGTGTAGATTCTGGTACGGACATCCTTTAGGTTTGTAAGTAGCTATGTTTACATGTGCAAAACTCTTTGATTGAATGAAAAAGTCTTCATTGCAAATAAAACCTTGGTTTWCTCTGATGGTTAAATGTTGTTTTGCCAACAGAAGGAAGGAACAGAGTATGATCTCAACAATGACCTGAAGACGCTACAGTATCACTCTATAGAGGATGGAGACCAGATTCTGGTGCGCTGGCTCTGACCCTGACCACTGACAGATGGACCCACTGCTCTTCTACAGTTACTGAAGTCAGGCTGGACGTCCGTCCTGCTGCCTGTCAGTCTAAATGAGCCCTGACACCTGACTTTAGAAACGTGGAACATCTGATCTCAAAGGAGTGATGTGATGACTGACAGGTGGCAGGTATCTACAGTCACAGTACTGCAGAAGAAGAGAACCAGGAGGAACTAAAGCAGAACATGCAAACCTTTAAATGTAAAAGTGATCAGATAAACTCTTGATGTTACTAATGAAGAGGTTTGTTTTTCCTTTTGTTTACACAAACATCTGATGACTGGCTCGATCTTTGGAAACATTGCTTTATAAAAAGGTGGGCATCTGGTTCTTTCCAACTGAAAACATACCTGGCAGAAAATCCATTTCATTATTGGGGGGGGGGGGTAAAAACAGATTTATTAAGAACTTCATACTACAATGATCACACATTACTGTTGTGTGTTCTTATTACTCAGTTAGGCAGGACATTCTGAACTGATTCGACATCCTGTTATTTTTATTGAACCGTCTTCATCCACCACCTCGTTACATCTTTGCAAATAAAACAATGTTCTTTTTTTAAACAAAATTTGTTACTTTACTTCATTTTCATTTTTTTAATATTATAGTCCTGTCCATGTTAGCTACTGTCCAAAGTTATACATCTGGGAAAAAAAGCAGCCACTGTTCAGAAGAATGAGCCAACACAGACGAGCTACATCATCAGGCCAGGACTCTGCAGTTTACACTCATCTACAGGCCAGGACTCTGCAGTTTACACACATCTACAGGCCAGGACTCTGCAGTTTACAC